TCTATCACAAAACGCTGGTTATTTGTGTTGTTCAGATTCTCTGTATAATTTTTAATTTTTTGAACATTGCTGCTTGTTTTATGTAGGGAATCTCATCTCCATTGTAGCTGGCTTGTCAATTTTCTTGCTCGAGTTTTCCTATTCATTCTAAATTTTTGTTATATTTAGCAAATAATGAATGTAATTGGGTTAAACTCTCCCATTGCTTTTGTGGGTTGTCACTTTCTCCATATAATCTGTCCTGAATTATTCTGTGGGCCCGACAGACTCACATGAGCATTTAAGAGACTTGACTGGTTGGAGGCAGAAGAGACACGGAAGGGCACACACCTGTAGTCCCAGCTACTTGGGATGCGGAAGCAGAAGAATCATCTGAGCCCAGGAGGTAAGGGCTGCAATGAACTGTGATTGTGCCACTGCTCTCCAGCCAGGGCAACAGAGCGGAAACGTGCTTAATAAAAAAGTCTTTTCTACTAGATCTATATTTCTGTTTATATATAATTATACTATATAAAAGGAGAAATATATTTAGCTTCCCAGTTAAAATGATACATAATTGAATAACCTGAGTGACAAATGAGTGTTTACTAAATATATAGTGAAAAGTGACTGTCTGCATCTATATTCACCATGAAATTTCCTACTTAGTTGAAAACTTTCTTACTGGAGAATGAATTTTCATATCATGTGTGGAGATATGGAATGATAACAGAATGCTTTAATGTACAAGTATCCATGCTCTGAGTGATATGATTTGCTCACATGATTGTTTCTCTTAACTGTGGTTTCCAAGTATATAAGCCTAATCTTTTAACTCACATAATGTCTCACAAAAGTATTCTAGGATCCATAGCAGGGTTTTATTATTGGTTTTGGTACTTCTTTTAATTTTTTAAAGCCAAATTTCCTTTCCAAGAAAAAAACCCACTTGTTTCTATTTCTTTAACTGTATCAGTTGTCTTAGTTCAGGCTGCTAGAACAGAATACCATGAACTGAATGGCTTAAACAAAAAACATTTATTTCTCACACTTTTGGAGGCTGAGAGGTCCAAGATCAAGGTGCTGGCAGATATAGTGTCTGGTGAGAGCTTGCTTCCTGGTTCACAGACCATGGTCTTCTCATTGTAACCTCATGTGGTGAGAAGGGCAAGAGAGTTCTGTTGGAGTTCTTTTTAAAAGGGCACAAATCCCATTTATGAGGGTTTCACCCTCATGACTTAATTGCCCACCAAAACTTCTATCATGATACCCTCACCTTGGGGGTTAGGATTTCAATATAAGAATTGAGAGGAGATGCAAATAATCAGTCCTGTGTACCAATGAAACACCAATTACACTATAGATTCACTGTTTGTCTCCTATTAATATTTGCTTACTATTGTTAATGTTTGGAAAGTTCTTCATAGTCAGTCTGACACTTCCTATTGCACCCTTTCCATAAAACCCACACACACAACAACAAACTATTTCTCTACCTATCTAGGAAACTGAGCTGTGTAATAATGATTCAATAGTATGGAATGAGATATGTGACTTAACTATATATCACACATAATATTTTATGTAAACCAATGACTGAATAATATGATTTTGTTTTGTTTTCACAAGCTAATTGTTAGAAGTAGAAATTTATCTGTTGTAGAGATTTGGTTATCATATTTGATATTTGTTTCCTGTTTACAGTATATAGCTAAAATATATTTTCTTTTAATATTAAGTGAAAATATAAAGTTATTTAAATGGTAAATAAGCTTTCTGCAGATCCTTCTTTTTGCGTTGGAAAGAATAATCAGTGAAAGGTTTTATTTATTTTCTTTGCAAACTCAAAGGTATTTATTTCTTAGAAAGAGATACATCGTTTCTTACTATTAGCTTGGTTTAAAGATGACAAGAAACAGAGATGCAAAGCAATAAAGACAAAAATGGTCCCACGGTCAGTGTCATTCAGTTGCCTTCACTTACCTCCAAAATAATAGGTGACCCCTGAGTCCATCAGCACAGCCACCAGGGGGTGAATGGCTATGTCACCATCCACCACCAAACTCACATGGCTCCACTTCGCAGATAAGGACACGGAATGCCACTGCCCATCATTTAATCCAGCACCTGAGGAAATAAGATCAAAGACAACTCTAAATTGTGAATTTGTTAACACTTGGATGCCATTTGATTCCGATCACTGAAGAAGTCAGAGAACAGCGGTATTTACATATTTGTATGTCACTGAGAAAACAATCATCTTTCTTTAATGACAGGATTTCATTTATTATGACAATAACACATGAATGAAATTATTCTTCTTTCCGGAGTCACTATAATTAATTCTGATAATGCACTTAAAGGAGTTGAAATTTCATTATCCAATATACATGTCAAACGTCTTTACCAGTGGGATAAAAAAATACACAGTTTAGTTCCATTCTCAAACACAAAATTTGCTTCCTTCATGAATCTCACAAAAATATTTTAGAAGGCTCAAGAAAGTGAGTGAGTAAATTTGTATCAAGAATAATTGTGAAAGGCTTTCTTTTTTTTAGAAAAAAAAGTGATACATAATAATTGCACATATTTTGGGGTACAACAGGATTGAAATGGCGGGAAAAGATCACCGAGTTTCCCATTCAGGTAAACTCTGCTTTCCCTCTCTGAGCTGTTTTACAACTTGGCAAACTGTAAAAACCTGACAGTAATGCAAAATCCTTTTCTTCCACAGAAATGCAAAATACTTGTGCCTGGTGGAATATATAGTTGGCTACAGAGCCATCTCATATCTGTCTGGAATTCATTTTGGCATACCTTACCTGCCTCTGTGTGTGTGGTTCTTCGACTTTTCCTTTGAGCTGATTGTAATATCTTACTGTTTCTTCATTAATTAATGAATTGAAATTTGACATATGTTCATATGTTTTCTAACTGAACACAATATGATTATAGGTATGATTATCCCTTCTTTTAAAAATTATAATTCAATGTTTGATAAGAAAATGCTTCAGAAAGAACTAGAGGGGTACTTCATATCTACGAACACCATTTCTTATATATTTATATTCACATCCACATTACTCAGTGATTCGTAGTCTCGTACAAGAAAATGGAATCTCAAGACCCCAAGCTCGGTCTGCCGAAGGGAAAGTGAGGCTTGGAAGCTGCCTTCTTTTTATTCCCAAATGGGTCACTGTCATTTCACGTTTACTTTATCTTTTGTAAAATGTAGATTTACTGAGGGTAAGAGGAATGCATCATCGACGTTTTCCTCCACTTCCTCTTTTCACATGTGAAATGTAGATTCCCTGAGCTCTAATCAGGGCATCACTAAGAATGCAACCACTCACCTCCTTGCCCACACTGCCTTTTTATTTCCTTCTGCTGCTGCTGGCTCCCCCCACTCTAATACAGAAGTTCCCAAAACCCTCTGTGGAGAAAGGCACAGACCACGGATCCTCCTGTGACCTGTATTTCTTTTTCCCGGGCACGTCCTCAACCTTGGCGTGACAAGCCTCTGTCTCCTGAGACCTGCCTCAGTCACTTTTAGGTTTACAGTGTTAACTATGAAGTTAATGCTGTGAAATAATTTGATAACATAAGGAATTGTCTTTGATCATAAGTTGAAACATTAAAATATTTAACATCACTAGATGAATTCTGTGTTTCCTTTTACCTGGTAATACGTCAAAGATACATGCCAACGAATGGATTAAAAATGAGATTAGCTTCGTGAGGCCTCTTAAATTAACATTTCACTGATGTTTAAAATTAAGCAAAGTTCAAAACTGCTTCAGAAATCACATACATCATAATACACTCTAGTAGAAATATTTTTATGAAGTTAACATATTAGTTGAGAGTCTTAGGAAGCCTGTTCATTATTAAAATGACTCTGTGCTTGATTTATTTCCTTTGCAAACATGTACTTACATGAAGTTAATATTAGCATTTCAAAGTAGTACTTTTCTTAAAAATTAAACATTAATATTTCAGCTTTTCCTTTAACCTTCAGTGATGTATAAAACAGAAACACAAGTAATAACAATGCATAAGGAAAAATTGTTTTTAAAAATCAATCAAGATTACTGGATGTCTGCATTGTAAAACTAGGCATTGTCTAAATACAATCTCTAGGATTATATTTAATTCTACAGGTCTCTATGCCTTTCATGCTCTTTTAGTTTTTTATTTTTTGAGTTGGGGTCTCATTCTGTTGCCCAGGCTGGGGGGCAGTGATACAATCATGGCCCTCTGCAGCCATGGACTCAAGAAATTCTTTCACCTCAGTCTCTCGAGTAGCTGGGACTACAGGTACGTGCCACCATGCCCAGCCAATTGTTTAATTTTCTGTAGAGATGGGGTCTTGCTATGTTGTCTAGGCGGGTCTTGAACTCTTGAGCCCAAGCAATCCCTGCCTCGGCCACCCAAAGTGCTAGGATTACAGCTCCTGGCCTTCTTTCAGTTATTTTACTATAATAAATTGTAGAAAATTGTAAGCAAGCAAATGACTGTCCATAAATGTGAATATTAAATTTTGTCAAAAAAATACAATTGATCTTTTTCCTGTTCCTCCCCCATTCCATATATGCCAGTTTTACATTATATGCAAATTCATTGTAGCTTACTGCTCATATCTTTGATTATTTGAATTCTCCTTTGAACCTGCTGTGACATTTACTGATTCCATCATTAACTCATGAGTTGAGTAAAATCTCTGACATATTTTCCTTACAATTGTATAATTTCTGTTGGTGCAATCTTTAAGAATATCTTTTGACAAATACAAGCGATCATTGCATATTTTTTCATGTCTATGAAAATATTTTTTCTTTTTGTTTATGCTATTATATTTGGCCTTCCATCATTTATACCCAAGAAAATCAAATACAGTGGTATCTATAACTATTTTAATGAGAAATTACTAAATAAGTAGTCACATACCACACAGATGTTATTTTAAACATGTTTGAATATGAAGATGCTTTTTTTTTTTTTTTTTGAGTTGGAGTCTCACTCTCGCCCAGACTGGAGTGCAGTGGCCGCTCGGACCTGCCGGGCTCCGGCGATCCTTCCGCCTCAGCCTTCCAAGTAGCCGGAATTACAGGCATGTGCTACCACGCCCAGCTGATTTTTTGATTTATTGTAGAGATGAGGTCTCACTGCCCAGGTGAGTCTCGAACCCGTGGGTTCAGGTAATCCACTCACCTCAGCCTCCCAAAGGCGCGGGATTACAGGCTGAGCCACCGAGCCCGGCTGAAGATGATTTCTTATCAAGAACTAGAGTATTTTAAATGCAGAGACAAAAATATCAGTCTCACAAAACCATGAGCTAAAGTGAAATCCTGCTGTGATTTAGGGACCCTAATTACATTAAATTCTAATTATTGTGCAACTCAGAGCTGGAGAAAATGCTTACTCAGACCTTCCTTGCACCTAGAATGTGTGCAACTCATTAGAACTACTGACTCGGGGGCGGGGGGAAGAAATTGTGGGCAGTCTGAAATGGGCAGAAGATATTACTGAATATCTTTTTAGTAGAAACATTAACTGATCTTAGAGGGTTGTAAACCTTCATCTAAGTTTCTTGACGGCTGTGTAGTGACAGAAGTCAACTTGCAGAAAATTGAAAATAATGTATATAATACTTGTCCATAGAGATGCAAACTCTGTCCAGGGAAGGGTATTACCTTTCTCTGTGTACATTAAAAAGCTTGCTAGGTTTGCATCTATTTGCAATTTCACTTTAGAATTCCTTTTCTGACTACAGATCTTCCTTAAACAGGCTTCATTCACTGATATAAGGGTAAACACAAGTCTGAAAAAAAAAGTCCAACACACAGAAACTTCCTTGGTGCCAAAAGGGACAGACACTTTACTCACTCTCCCATTTCTTAGAATCTTTCCTTTAAAGCAGGGGTCCCTAACCCCCAGGCCACAGACTGGAACTTGTGTGTGACCTGTTAGGCACTGGCTTGCCCGGCTGGTGGTGAGCCAGCAAAGCTTCATCGGTATTTACAGCCACTCCCCCTCGCTCACATTACTGCCTGAGCATCTCTTCCTATCAGATCAGCAGCATTAGACGGTCATAGGAGCGTGAACCCTACTGTGAGATGCCCATGGGAAGGATCTAGGTTACACACTCCTTATGAAAACTGAATGCCTGATGATCTGAGGCGAGCCTGCAGCAGCTGCAAGTACAGATGAACATTAGCGCTGAGGTTTGACTGCACATCACCCCACCCCTCCCTTCGATGGAAAAACTGTCTCGCGAGAAACCGGTTCCCGATGCCAAAAAGGTTGGTGGTCGGTCCCTGCTTAAAGACACTAATTGCAAATCTTCGATAAACTGCCTGAGCCCGCGGGTTCGAGACCCGCCTGGGCAGTGAGACCTCATCTCTACAATAAATCAAAAAAATAAAATAAAATCAGCCGGGCGTGGTAGCGCATGCCTGTAGTCCCAGCTACTCGGAAGGCTGAGGCGGAAGAATGGCCCGAGCCCAGCAGCTCGAGGCTGCGGTGGCCGAGAGCAGCCACTGCACTCCAGTCTGGGCCACCGAGTGAGACTCCAACTCAAAAAGAAAAAGAAAAAAATCTTATTTACAAAACAAGTATTTCGCTTCTTTCTAGTTTTACCCCCAGGGATGTTTTTCTAAAGGCCCTGGAGACATTTCTTTGAGATGTAAACCTCCAGGAAGATGATGTCCCTTCATAGTCTCCATCTCTGCGGGAGTTTAACTTTGGGGCTTGGCCCCAAGTTATAACCACCTGCTTGTCACAGAGACAGCGGTTTTAGTTTTCCCTTCAGATTAACAAGCCAATAAAGATGGTTCCCCAAGTGCCAGGTGAATTTAGGATGGCCTTCGTGGAACAAATGCTGCTATCAAGTCCTCTTACTAGAGAACAAGCTATCCTGTCTCTGCCCAGCTGTATAAATAGATAAGAATTCTTTCTGTCTTTGCAATCACGTTAGCAATTGCCTGAAATGTGCCTCACAGTCTGGCTTAATGCTTATTCCATAATAAAACTATTTAATTATTTTCCACCTCGTGAAAGGGATTCATTAGGTTGATAGGCAGTTTTTATCTCTATTTTTCCAACACCGATTCCCTCATTAATTAATGAGTAACATAAAATCTTTGCCACATGTTCATTTTGTATATGTGTGTGGGTCATGATTTCACCCTTTCTTGGAGAAAATCCTGTTTGTGAGGAAACAGAAAATAAATTTGCATTTTTAAAAGATATGAAGTATGTATGTCCTCTGAGTGTTTGTTGTGTCTCCCACAGACTACCCTGGATCAGAGATGGCTTGCCTGATTGTTCCCGAAACACTAAGATAAATCCCTGCCCTTTGAATTTCTTCTTCACAGGTCTCAAAATCCTGCTTTCACACAGAAACATCTAACAGCAGTCTAATCAAATGTGGACTTAAGTAGCCAAAAGGAATCTCTTTTTGAGTATAATAATCCCCTGGTCTCAAGGAAGACATCAGCTGCTTCTTCTGTGTCTTTTTCTTTCTTGGACTCCCTTATGTTAAAACAGCGGCAACAACAACAACAAAAATCCAAAAAACCCTATTTGGTTCTGACGTCAGTTTAGTCATGATGCAGTTTTTGGGACTCAAATGTCCTCCTAAAATTGCAAATCCAATCAGCAAATCCAGCAGCTCTGTGGTTGTCAGGCTTGCCCACACCACCTTGCACACGAGAAGCAGATTAGTAACCATCTATCGTTACTCAGTCTGGGCTCATGGGATTTGAGCCCCTGACCTAAAAGTCCTATCAAAGCATCTGCCCAAAAAAAGCAGGCCCTTGAAGAGGAGTAGGGATGAGAGGGCCGGATTGGGGTGGCCACTGTACAAATAAAGTCAGATTTCCTTCCTATTGTTCTCCCTGCAAAGAAGACCTAAGGTGTTCTAGTTTAAAAGTGAAAACAGCTGAGGTATGGGAGGCTGGGTGATTTGCAGATCAGAAGTGGAAGTGGCAAGTGGAGGAGGGGAGATTCTCCCCAGGTGCCAGGCTGTCATCCTGGAAAATCCATCGGCCATCCACAAAAGATGAGAAACTCTTGGTAACTGCTGGCATGTTTCACTAGAAGGCAAGGATTATCAATTGCCTACTGTGGATAGACTCTTTCTCCCCCCACATACCAGGAGGGGAGGAAAGGGAAAGGAGAGGAGAAGCCAGTGGGGAGAGGGAAGGTGTGTGTCTCCGGGTGTTGTCCATGAGATCCTGACTGTAAGAGGGAAACCCCAAAAACCCAGAATTTATTTATTAAGAAGTGTGTATTTATTCTTATATGTTTAAACTTCAGTCATGTTCAAAGTACTCTCTGTTTGATGCAATACACCTATTGAGACACTTTTCCGCTGATCAAAACAGTTTTTGAACTTGTCAATTTTGGTGCCTTTTAGTGTTTTGTTTTTTTTTTCCCCCACTTCTTCCACATCGACAAAACAATTCCCTTTGATGAACAAGGGAATTCTCCCCAGAGAAATAAGACAAAAAAGTCGGTGGGGTGAGATCAGGTGAATAGGGAGGGTGGGGTCATGCTACTTGTGGTCAAAAACTGCTGAACACTAGAGGTGATGTCGGCAGGTGTGCTCATAAATCACCCATCACGAACGGGCAAATGTGTTGAAAGAATCTCCCCCCGCCCCCCAAAAAATTCACTGAAGTTGAATGCAGCCTCTCAGCAACTGTAGCTTGTACACTGATGCCGATGGATGGGTTCCTAGAACACTTACCTAGTGGGGAAAGCCTGTACTACAAGGGGCCTGCCCTCCATAAGATTCTGGTTTTTGGGGGGGTCTCCCCTTATAGTTCTCTGGGATACAGCCTGAGTATATGTTTGCCAGGAAGGAAGCTTAAGGGTATTACATATTTTCCTTGTATATGGAGAGGTTTGTCTGCAGAAATGTCATAGGTAGTCATGTCGGTCAAAGAGCACTTTCGTGATGGCTGGGTGTCCCATATATGAAAAGTCTAAAAGGAATTAACAATGCAGTTCCTCCACCTAGGGCCACTGAGTTGTCTCATTTATCAACTTATTAGCAAATGACTCATCAGCTGGCTGGCTGTGAGGCTCATAGAAGTATATCTATTACCTGCTGTGATGTTCCTCAATGACTGTCCCAGCTGGAAGAGGCTCAGTTTGAGTTTTCCATCCTTAAGAAAGAGGGCAAAACTCCCTGAACCACGTCGAAGTTCTCCGAAAAGCAAATGTCCATCTCTGTTCCATGTTCGGAATTGAAAAGTGATAGACACTTTGTCCTCCTCAGAGTTGCCCGGCAGGACCAGATAACTCCCGGAGCTCAGAAAAGTCACAGGGACAATCTGTGGCTGTGGACATGAGAAGGACACCTTTCCCTGAAATAAAACAAAAGACCACATTAACCAGCTTCGGGTGGTGCTTACACCTAATTAAAGATAGATTTTACAAAGGCTTCTTTTCAATCTCAATTGTGGAAATGTGGCTGCTAAGGATCAAATCTGTGATATGTATCTTATCTTTTAACAGTAAGTATTGTTGCAATTGGACAAACCTATCCCTATGGCTTTTTGTGGGCGTGTTTGTGTGAATGTATCCACTTCTCCACTTCTCAGCATGAGCAAGAGTCTCGATGGATTTTAATTCAATAGAAGTTGATTCAATGCCAACTACTTTCCAGACCCTGCGCTAGACCTGAGGATGTAGCAATGAACAGTACATCTCTGTGCCCTCAGATTGTCCTTCTGAGCAATTTGGGCTTCCCTAAACAACATTCCTCAAAATCTCCTTTGTACCAGCTTTGCTATCTTACTGGTTCCCTCATTAATTAATGAGTTGGCTAAATCTTTGACACATGTGCATTTGATATTTGCACGAGTCATACTTTCAGCCTTGGAAAATCATATTTTGACACTGCTCCAAGAGTTCTTCAGATCTAACAGTTATGTACTAAGTTTCCTTTTAGTATTTCTAGCATGAAAATGTTAATTTTTATATAATCACTTGTGTCTTTATTTTCTTCTGTGTGTCTGAATTTCCAATCATTGTTATAAACTTTCCCAGTCCCCTAGGTCTCAGAGATTTTCTTCCAAGATTTTGTGGTTGTTGTTGCTTGTTTGTTTCTCATCACCCTAAATGTTCATATCTTAGAGCACGTAAGAGTGAGCCTTGTTTGTTTTCTACTTTATTAACACTTGTTTGTTCAACAGCGTTTATGAAATAATTCATCCCTTTTCTACTGAACTGAGCCAAAACCCTTGTTACTAATAGCTCTGCCTATATACTGGGATCTTTCTGGCATCTCTGCATTGTTCTAATGACTGGTCAATTCCTATCCAGTATCATATTGATTTTAGTACTGGCTTTTAGTATGTTTCAGGATCTGGTAAGTCAAATCGAATCTCACTGTTTTTCTTTATGTATTTGCTTTTGTTGAGCTGCTGGAAGGAAGGAGCAATTCTTGGGTATTTATTTACACATGGTAATTTTTAGTTCCAGAAGAAAAAACAGCACTTCAGCTTCTAGTTGAAATTCGATTAAATTATTTCTAGTAAGACACTACATATGATTTCAGAAGAAAAGCATTCCCGAAGCAAGATAGATCATCTAGAGTCATAGTTCTCAAACCTTGCTAAACTAGCTGAGTCACCTGCAGAGACCCTAAAGGCCGAACCCAGACCAATGAAATCCCAGTCTGTGAGACCGGATCTAGGGAACAATATCCTTTACATTTCCACGGGTAACTACAAGACAAAGCCAAGTTTAAGAGCCACTGATTCGGGGGTTAAAACCACTTTCAAGACTGAATCACACTTTTTAAAGAAATTCTTTCCTCACATCATTCAGAAACAAATATAATTCAGTTTGTATTTTAAAATAATCTTCAATACATGCTATAACTACATACATAAATCAAAACGTTTTCTCTTGGCTATGTTTTAAATTCTGCTGAATGTGAAATAGTTTTTTTGTAAGAAAACATTGGATGTAATGAATTAAATGCCAAAAGCTTAATAGGCACTGATCCATAGTGTAAATTTAATCATTGGACTAATACATGCTTTTTATTTTATCAGCTGCAGATTTCTTGACCTCTTCATTTAGATGACTAACTTCCTGCTCCCACAACAAAGAAGCAGAATCTCTTGCCACAAATGAGTGATAATTAGTTGAACAAACCAATTCTGGCAACTGATTTTGCTGACAAAATATATTTTAAAACATCTTCTTTTTAAATATTAAAGCAACCACTTTCCTGTTTTTATAAAGAACACACACAATTGCAATAACTCTCAGAACAGAACTCCCATATCTAATATCGCATATCCATATGCACAATTAGAAATGAATTTTCTATTGTATGACATACATTTTAATATCATTATACAATGTAATTAACAAATAGCTTTCTTGACGATGATATTCAGGACTCCAGATAAATTAGCATCATATCCGATTAGCTATAATCAGTTAATAACTTCGCCAGTAAACTCATCAGTAATCCAGAATAAAAATATGAAATGTGTATAAAAACCTGTGCCTAGTCTCCTCAAAAAGTCTTGGCTCCTGGTGTCATAAGGCCCAAGTCACTCTTATTCACCTCAATGAGAGTTCCTTTGGTAATAACCCCATAGAAGTGAGGGTGAGGATGAGGGCTTTTTCTGTACACAGAGGGTTGGCAAATAAAAGGAGACAGTGTTCAGAAGCTGTTCCATTAGGCTTCTTGACATGGAAGCCCATTGACCAAACGTATTTTGTATTTGTGTCTGAGTAAGGAACCTCAAACAAAGCTAGCTTCAGTCACAAGTTCTTTTTCTTTGTCACCCCATGG